TCGTGGTACTCTACGTCGATGATCTCATCCTGGCCAGCAGCAACAACGAACTCCTCAAGTCAACCAAGATGGCGCTGAGCAAACGCTTCGAAATGACGGATCTCGGTGAGCTCGATTACTTTCTCGGCATGGAGATCAAGAACGACCGTAAGACGGGAATGGTGACTGTACAACAAACCAAGTTCCTCAAGTCCGTGTTAACCAAGTTCGGAATGGATAACAGCAAGCCAGTGAAGACGCCTCAAGATCCCGGCCTGAAGCTAACCAAGAACATGTGTGAACAAGAATGCAAGCACGAAGACACCATGTGCAACGTGCCATATCGAAGTGCTGTCGGAGGCATCATGTATCTCATGGTCGCCACACGTCCGGATCTAGCTGCTGCAGTGGGATCATTATCCCAGTTCTCGTCCGACCCATGCCCGACTCACTGGCAAGCTTTGAAGCGTGTGCTGAGATACCTGCAAGCAACGCCCAATCATGGTCTTGAGTTTACACGTGAAGAAGGAAGCCGTATCTGCGGGTACACCGACGCAGACTGGGCCGGCGACATTGAGTCAAGACGAAGTACAAGCGGCTATGTGTTCATGATGAGCGGAGGATGCATCAGCTGGAAAAGCCAGAAACAACGGACGGTCGCGCTATCTTCAACAGAAGCAGAATACATGGCGCTTTCCGTGTTGAAAAAGACAGCGGCTGTGAAGAAGACACCTCGTCAAGCTGCGTCAAGTGTTGAAGCAAGTGGAAGACCAAGCTTCGCTATACCGGTGGGTACCGGTATGTACCAGTAAGGGCGAAGTCAGGAAATGACGTCACTGGATGACGTCAGTGGGTGACGTCAGTGGGTGACGTCACTGGATGACGTCACTGCGAATAATAGGCTTAGAGGTAGTATTCAAAGTTGCGAACTAAGTACCTATTATAAATATATATTCACTTTGCGTTTTGCACTCGGACCAAGAAGTCTAAAGTTCATCAGGTTATGAGCCCAAGTTCGTCAGACTCTGAAACCGCCAACAATTCAAGCTTAGCTGCCATGGACGCCTCCTCCCTCCGCATCTCCAAGTTCGATGGAACTAACTTCCACGCCTGGAAGTTCAAGATGCAGATGGTGCTGGAGGAACGGGACCTATGGGAGGTCGTCAGCGGTGAGATCAAGGCGGAACAGTGCGAGACTCAGTTGGACCAAGCGACGTACAAGAGGAAGTCAAGAAAGGCGATGGCAGTGATCTGTCTAGCCATGGAAGATTCCCAGCTACCGTTGGTCCGGTCGGCAAGTGGTGCATGCGACGCATGGTCAAGGTTGGAAGACCACTTCGAGAAGAAGAGTCTTGCCAACAAGCTGTTCTTGCGCCGTCGCTTCTTCACGACAATGATGGAAGAAGGCGACGATGTGCTCGAACACATCAACAAGCTCAAGACGCTGGCGGAACAGCTAGAAGCGGTGGGGGGCTCCAGTCTGCGAGGACGATCTGGTGATCACACTCCTCGGCAGCCTGAGTGACTCGTATCAATTCTTGATCACAGCTTTGGAGTCGCGCTCAGACACTCTTAGCTGGGAGCTCGTGACGTCTCGACTGCTTCATGAAGAAATGAAGCGGAAGGAGCAAGGAAGTAAAGGTGATGAAGCTTCGCAAGGTCAAGCGTTCATCACAAGGGACAATCAGCGCAAAGGGCGACCAGTGAAGAAGTCCTGGCCGTGCCACAATTGCGGAAAGATTGGTCACTGGATGGCGGAGTGCCCCTCGCGCATCCAAGAAAACACGGAGAGACACCGGCCACAGCGTGCTCAAGACAGCGGCGACCGCTATCGATCACAACGTGCAAACGTCGCTCAAGAAGAAGACTCGGGCGACTACCTCTTTTCGATCGGTGAAACGACATCTGCGAAATCGAGCGACATCTGGCTGGTCGACTCCGGGGCGACGCAGCACATGACGTGCTCCAAGAAGTTCATGCGGAACTACAAGGGGTTTGACGCTGTGGATGTCCATCTCGTGGATGACGGAATCGTCCAAGCAATCGGCAGTGGGGACATTGTCATGTCGATGAAGACACCCCAAGGGATGAAGAAAGGTGTGCTCACAAACGTGTGGCACATCCCAAAGTTATCCAGAAACCTGTTCTCGGTCGGCCGCTTCACCAAGGATGTCGGCCCAGTGACGTTCACGAAGGATGGGTGCTATGGAGAAGCGAAAGGGACCAAGTGGAAAATTGGTGCCCGTGAAGGTAAAGGACTGTTCAAGCTGCAAATGACTCCAGTGGCGCCGGAACAAGCAAATGCAGCCAAGTCGTCGGGATGTCAAGGGGGCACCAAGTCGTACCTCTGGCACCTTCGGCTTGGCCACATAGGTCACGATGGACTCAATTGCATCGTGACGAAGAACATTGGAATTGGCATCGACATATCTTCGGTGAAGAAGTGGGACGTGTGTGAAGGTTGTGCTCTGGGAAAACAGACTCGAGTGCGCTTCCAATCAAACACTACAGCTCGCACCTCCAAACTCCTCGAAGTGATTCACAGCGACGTATGCGGACCGATGTCGATGGCAACTTTCAGTGGAAAACGGTACTTCGTGACATTCATTGATGACAAGTCAAGATACTGTGTCGTCTATCTGCTCAAGAGCAAATCTGAAGTTGCGGCGAAGTTCATGGAATACGCTGCGATGGCCGAAACGCAAACCGGAAAGCGCGTGAAGTACCTTCAAAGCGACAATGGGGGTGAATACAAGTCCGACAAGCTGGCACGATTCTGCGCGGAACGGGGAATACAACAAAGGTTCACACCCACCCCCATATACTCCTCAGCTAAACGGAGTAGCTGAGAGAATGAATCGCACGCTGGTCGAGTGTGCGCGTTGCATGATGGAACACGCTGGACTGGGAAAGAGCTACTGGGGTGAAGCAGTGATGACGGCGATGTTTCTTCGAAACCGCTGTCCAACACGTGCCATTCACCAAGACAAGTCTCCATATCAAGTGTGGACGATGAAGAAACCGATTCTGGCCAACCTTAAAGTGTTTGGATGCCACGCGTATGTTCAAGTGCCTCAAGACAAACGCGCGAAGTTCGACTCCAAGTCATCACTCTGTCGTTTCCTGGGATACGCCGAACACCAGAAGTCATATCGATTTGAGGAAGTGTCAACAGGAGCGATCAAGATCAGTCGCGATGCCACATTCATGGAAGACAAGTTTGATGAAGGTCCGCGCAACTACAACGATGAGTCAAGTGTCGTTGAGTTTGATGATCATGATGAGGACGAAGAAAAAGAAGAAGGTAAAACTGACGACGACATGGACTCGAGCGACGATGACAACGAAGACACCAGGTCTTCGAAGAGCAACATCAAGAGACACACGCGCACTCAATCACTTGAGAAAGCTACCGTCATTCCAAGTCCCAAGCGAAGAACATACAGAGGTCCGTCGCGCTTGAGCATGTGTCAGCGGCTGCAATGGATTTTGAAGCAGCCTACATCGTTGATTCAGTGGGGGAAACGCCGACTACATTCAAGTCGGCGATGGAATCAAGCGACTCCGGCAAGTGGAAAGAAGCGTGTGACTCGGAGTTCGACTCGCTTCAGAGAAACGACACGTGGGAAATCGTGCCTCTTCCGAAAGGTCGCAAGGCCATCGGGTGCCGATGGGTTTTTCGTGTAAAGGAGAATCAAGATGGCGAAGTTGAACGTTTCAAGGCAAGACTTGTGGCCAAAGGATTCTCACAGAAATTCGGAGTTGACTATGAAGAAACTTTCGCACCGGTGGCCAAGTTCACATCGATTCGTGTGGTGCTCAGTATGGCGGCTAAGTACGGCCTAATGCTACATCAGATGGACGTCAAGACAGCGTTTCTTAACGGCTCCCTCAACGAAGACATCTACATGGACCAGCCGGACGGATACCTGGATGCAACACAGCCGGACTATGTGTGCAAGCTAAAGAGATCACTCTACGGCTTGAAGCAATCGCCTCGCATGTGGAACCAAACAATCGATGGGTTCATGATCAAGATGGGATTCAAGAAGTGCGAATCGGACCACTGCATCTACATCAAGCGAGACGACCAAGACATGATTCTCGTGGTGCTCTACGTCGATGATCTCATCCTGGCCAGCAGCAACAACGAACTCCTCAAGTCAACCAAGATGGCGCTGAGCAAACGCTTCGAAATGACGGATCTCGGTGAGCTCGATTACTTTCTCGGCATGGAGATCAAGAACGACCGTAAGACGGGAATGGTGACTGTACAACAAACCAAGTTCCTCAAGTCCGTGTTAACCAAGTTCGGAATGGATAACAGCAAGCCAGTGAAGACGCCTCAAGATCCCGGCCTGAAGCTAACCAAGAACATGTGTGAACAAGAATGCAAGCACGAAGACACCATGTGCAACGTGCCATATCGAAGTGCTGTCGGAGGCATCATGTATCTCATGGTCGCCACACGTCCGGATCTAGCTGCTGCAGTGGGATCATTATCCCAGTTCTCGTCCGACCCATGCCCGACTCACTGGCAAGCTTTGAAGCGTGTGCTGAGATACCTGCAAGCAACGCCCAATCATGGTCTTGAGTTTACACGTGAAGAAGGAAGCCGTATCTGCGGGTACACCGACGCAGACTGGGCCGGCGACATTGAGTCAAGACGAAGTACAAGCGGCTATGTGTTCATGATGAGCGGAGGATGCATCAGCTGGAAAAGCCAGAAACAACGGACGGTCGCGCTATCTTCAACAGAAGCAGAATACATGGCGCTTTCCGAAGCAACCAAAGAAGCAGTATGGCTCAAAGTGCTTTTGGGGGAACTTGGTGAGATGACAAGCGACGAAGCGATCAAGATGTATGAAGACAACCAAGGATCAATCGCTCTCGCCAAGAACCCGGAGTTCCATAAGAGAACAAAACACATCGACATACGCTACCATTTTGTGCGTGAGAAGGTGGAATCAGGTGAAGTCGTTTTGGAGTATTGCCCGACTCAAGATATGCTGGCAGACATGATGACCAAGCCGATCGCCGCTGTACAATTTGAAAACATTCGCGATCGACTTGGGATCCATGGTGCCGCAGCTAACGAGTCGAGAGGGAGTGTTGAAAAGACAGCGGCTGTGAAGAAGACACCTCGTCAAGCTGCGTCAAGTGTTGAAGCAAGTGGAAGACCAAGCTTCGCTATACCGGTGGGTACCGGTATGTACCAGTAAGGGCGAAGTCAGGAAATGACGTCACTGGATGACGTCAGTGGGTGACGTCAGTGGGTGACGTCACTGGATGACGTCACTGCGAATAATAGGCTTAGAGGTAGTATTCAAAGTTGCGAACTAAGTACCTATTATAAATATATATTCACTTTGCGTTTTGCACTCGGACCAAGAAGTCTAAAGTTCATCATTCCGAAGCAACCAAAGAAGCAGTATGGCTCAAAGTGCTTTTGGGGGAACTTGGTGAGATGACAAGCGACGAAGCGATCAAGATGTATGAAGACAACCAAGGATCAATCGCTCTCGCCAAGAACCCGGAGTTCCATAAGAGAACAAAACACATCGACATACGCTACCATTTTGTGCGTGAGAAGGTGGAATCAGGTGAAGTCGTTTTGGAGTATTGCCCGACTCAAGATATGCTGGCAGACATGATGACCAAGCCGATCGCCGCTGTACAATTTGAAAACATTCGCGATCGACTTGGGATCCAAGGTGCCGCAGCTAACGAGTCGAGAGGGAGTGTTGAAAAGACAGCGGCTGTAAAGAAGACACCTCGTCAAGCTGCGTCAAGTGTTGAAGCAAGTGGAAGACCAAGCCTCGCTATACCGGTGGGTACCGGTATGTACCAGTAAGGGCGAAGTCAGGAAATGACGTCACTGGATGACGTCACTGCGAATAATAGGCTTAGAGGTAGTATTCAAAGTTGCGAACTAAGTACCTATTATAAATATATATTCACTTTGCGTTTTGCACTCGGACCAAGAAGTCTAAAGTTCATCAATGATGAGGACGAAGAAAAAGAAGAAGGTAAAACTGACGACGACATGGATTCGAGCGACGATGACAACGAAGACACCAGGTCTTCGAAGAGCAACATCAAGAGACACACGCGCACTCAATCACTTGAGAAAGCTACCGTCATTCCAAGTCCCAAGCGAAGAACGTACAGAGGTCCGTCGCTTGAGCATGTGTCAGCGGCTGCAATGGATTTTGAAGCAGCCTACATCGTTGATTCAGTGGGGGAAACGCCGACTACATTCAAGTCGGCGATGGAATCAAGCGACTCCGGCAAGTGGAAAGAAGCGTGTGACTCGGAGTTCGATTCGCTTCAGAGAAACGACACGTGGGAAATCGTGCCTCTTCCGAAAGGTCGCAAGGCCATCGGGTGCCGATGGGTTTTTCGTGTAAAGGAGAATCAAGATGGCGAAGTTGAACGTTTCAAGGCAAGACTTGTGGCCAAAGGATTCTCACAGAAATTCGGAGTTGACTATGAAGAAACTTTCGCACCGGTGGCCAAGTTCACATCGATTCGTGTGGTGCTCAGTATGGCGGCTAAGTACGGCCTAATGCTACATCAGATGGACGTCAAGACAGCGTTTCTTAACGGCTCCCTCAACGAAGACATCTACATGGACCAGCCGGACGGATACCTGGATGCAACACAGCCGGACTATGTGTGCAAGCTAAAGAGATCACTCTACGGCTTGAAGCAATCGCCTCGCATGTGGAACCAAACAATCGATGGGTTCATGATCAAGATGGGATTCAAGAAGTGCGAATCGGACCACTGCATCTACATCAAGCGAGACGACCAAGACATGATTCTCGTGGTACTCTACGTCGATGATCTCATCCTGGCCAGCAGCAACAACGAACTCCTCAAGTCAACCAAGATGGCGCTGAGCAAACGCTTCGAAATGACGGATCTCGGTGAGCTCGATTACTTTCTCGGCATGGAGATCAAGAACGACCGTAAGACGGGAATGGTGACTGTACAACAAACCAAGTTCCTCAAGTCCGTGTTAACCAAGTTCGGAATGGATAACAGCAAGCCAGTGAAGACGCCTCAAGATCCCGGCCTGAAGCTAACCAAGAACATGTGTGAACAAGAATGCAAGCACGAAGACACCATGTGCAACGTGCCATATCGAAGTGCTGTCGGAGGCATCATGTATCTCATGGTCGCCACACGTCCGGATCTAGCTGCTGCAGTGGGATCATTATCCCAGTTCTCGTCCGACCCATGCCCGACTCACTGGCAAGCTTTGAAGCGTGTGCTGAGATACCTGCAAGCAACGCCCAATCATGGTCTTGAGTTTACACGTGAAGAAGGAAGCCGTATCTACGGGTACACCGACGCAGACTGGGCCGGCGACATTGAGTCAAGACGAAGTACAAGCGGCTATGTGTTCATGATGAGCGGAGGATGCATCAGCTGGAAAAGCCAGAAACAACGGACGGTCGCGCTATCTTCAACAGAAGCAGAATACATGGCGCTTTCCGAAGCAACCAAAGAAGCAGTATGGCTCAAAGTGCTTTTGGGGGAACTTGGTGAGATGACAAGCGACGAAGCGATCAAGATGTATGAAGACAACCAAGGATCAATCGCTCTCGCCAAGAACCCGGAGTTCCATAAGAGAACAAAACACATCGACATACGCTACCATTTTGTGCGTGAGAAGGTGGAATCAGGTGAAGTCGTTTTGGAGTATTGCCCGACTCAAGATATGCTGGCAGACATGATGACCAAGCCGATCGCCGCTGTACAATTTGAAAACATTCGCGATCGACTTGGGATCCAAGGTGCCGCAGCTAACGAGTCGAGAGGGAGTGTTGAAAAGACAGCGGCTGTGAAGAAGACACCTCGTCAAGCTGCGTCAAGTGTTGAAGCAAGTGGAAGACCAAGCCTCGCTATACCGGTGGGTACCGGTATGTACCAGTAAGGGCGAAGTCAGGAAATGACGTCACTGGATGACGTCATTGGATGACGTCAGTGGGTGACGTCAGTGGGTGACGTCACTGGATGACGTCACTGCGAATAATAGGCTTAGAGGTAGTATTCAAAGTTGCGAACTAAGTACCTATTATAAATATATATTCACTTTGCGTTTTGCACTCGGACCAAGAAGTCTAAAGTTCATCACGGGGCGACGCAGCACATGACGTGCTCCAAGAAGTTCATGCGGAACTACAAGGGGTTTGACGCTGTGGATGTCCATCTCGCGGATGATGGTGTTGACGGTCATCGGTTTCTACCAGTATTGGTAACCGTGACCGGTCCAATCCGAACCGCCTGTTTAGCTTAGTATTTACGACGTAGTTCTTACGGTAATTACCATAGTTGATTAGACGCGTAGGATGATGAGACGCTTCACATGATTTATATGTGCACCACATATAAATCATGTAGTAAGTAGTAAGCCCCGATAATCAATCACTTTCCAATCTTCCATCTACCCCAAGTGTCTTCTCCGGTCTTCCGAGTGGACTCTCAGCATCCCTCCCAGTTTCGGTCGTCAAGCTCTTCATCATTCAACAGGTTATGAGCCCAAGCACGATGTCCTCTGCCCATGATGCCACCACCAAGATCTCCATCGACAAGTTCGACGGCGACAACTACGCGACGTGGAGCCGCTACATGCGTGGCGTGTTCCTGACCAAGTCGGCGTGGCACGTGGTGAACCGGGAGACCACCCCCACCTTCGCCGATCCTCGCGCCAGTGACGACTACGTCAAGACGAACAACATTGCGTTCGGCTTGATGCTGCTGCACATGAGCGCAGATTATCATCACGTGGTTGATGACTGTGAAGAGGCGTGGGTCGCGTGGGCGCGTTTGAAGACGCTGTACGGCGGGTCGCAGAAGGCTGGACGCATCTACTTGAAGCGCCAGCTGTTCAGCATGGAGATGGCGGAAGGCGGCAATGTGATGCATCATTGCAACGAAGTCCTCAACATCAGCGCGAAGCTCAGCAGCATCGGCGCCAAGATGGAGGACGAGGACGTTGCGATCTGCTTGTTGCGCAGCCTCCCCAAGAGCTACGAGAATGTCGTTCTCAACTTGGAGATGAGCAGCGCGGAACTGCGATCGCGAGACGTCGTGAGAGTGCTCACGAATGAGCACATCAAGAGGCAAGGTGACAAGACGACATCGGTGAAGACTGAAGACGCGGCCAAGGCGTTCAGTACCGAGCGTGAACCTCGCCAGTGTACATACTGCGGAAAATTGGGGCACACGGCGGAGCGGTGCTGGACCAAGCAGAAGGACGAGAATCAAGGTGGAGCTCGACGCGGCGGCAACAATGCTCGTGGACGCGGAGCCAACAACGTTCAGTGGCGAACCAACAGCAACTACGACGACAACTGCGATCGAGTTGCGTTCGCGGTTTCGCTGGAGGCCGGACTTTCGACGGGCAAGAATATGCCAGGGATGTGGGCAGTCGACAGCGGTGCGACGCATCACATCTGCAACGACAAGGCCAAGTTTGCAAGCCTGAATGAGCGAGAGGAAGGCGAACTATCAGTGGCTGATGGCAGCGAGGCTGCGATCAAGGGTGTGGGAACCATCATGGAACGGGTGGTTCTGCCCAATGGTGACGAACGCGACATCGAGATCAAGGACGCGCTGTTCGTACCAAGCATGAGCAAGAATCTGCTTTCGGTGCCACAGATCAACAAGGGTGGGAGGTTCCAAGTCGTGTTCGATGGATCCAAGATGCAAGTGAAGCGCAAGAATTCCACACAAGTCGTGGCAACAGCGGATCTCGTCGATGGACTTTACTGGCTGCGGACTCCTCAACGATCGGCGAATGCAGCAACACGCAATGGGACCATCGACTTGCATGCGCGCATGGGTCATGCACCTCTCGAAGTTCTGCGCAAGATGATGGCCACTGGCATGATCAAGGACGCCAAGGCACCTCTCAACTCGACTGGTCCAAGTGTGTGTCGCGGTTGCCAGCAAGGAAAGATGGTCCAAAAACCATTCCCAACCAACCGTGACAAACGCCAATATGGTATGTTCGAGTTGCTGCACTTCGACATCTGCGGGCCAATGGAACAAGTCTCGATCGGCGGCAGCAAATACTTACTGCTTGTGGTTGACGAAGCTAGCGGTTGCATGAAGGGCTTCTGTCTGCGGTCCAAGTCTGAGAGTGAAGACTGTATCAAGAACCACATCATCAAGATTCAAACACAGTTCGGCACGAAGATCAAGTTTGTTCGGCACGATGGAGCGCATGAATTTGCGACCAACTCGATCAAGACCTTCTACGAAGATCATGGTATCGAACAACAGATCACGGTGCCGTATGCACACCAGACCAACGGCACCGCAGAACGCGCGATAAGGACCATCGTCACGATCGGACGCAGCTTGTTGCATCATGCAAAGCTGGAGAAGTGTTTCTGGGCTGAAGCGGCAATGACGGCGATCTACATCAAGAACCGCCTGCCTTCACCCAAGATCGACCACAAGACTCCGTTCGAGATCGTGTACAAGTCGAAACCAAGTGTCAAGCACATGCGCGTGTTTGGATGTCGGGCGTTTATCCTGACACCAAGGGAGAAGCGATTGAAGTGGGACCCGAAGGCTCGTGAAGGGATGTTCATGGGCTACGAAGAAGTGTCAAAAGCTTATCGAGTGTACGACATTGAGGCGGACCAAGTGGTGATCAGTCGTGACATCACCTTCGACGAATCGACTTTTGACTTTTCGATGGACCGACCAAGTGACGATGATGAAGATGCGGAGTTGGATCTCGACCTCCTGGCGATCAACGAGGACGACGTGCGTCAAACTGTCTACAAGCAGACTGGCAAGCGCAAGAGTGAAGCAAGACCCGGCATGTCACGTTCAGCTCGCCCTCGAACTGGATTGGAACAAGCAAGTGCGCCGGCACACGTCTCCAACCGTCACCAGAAACGACGATCAAGTGCTCCAGAAACGATGTCTGATGACGAAGAAGATGCAAGCGTCTACGATCAAGATGACGACTTGACGCCTCCAACATTTTGGCGTGCAAGTGCAAACGCAGTGGAAGCAACGGACCTAGCAGAACCTGTGACTTTTCAAGACGCGATCAATGGTCCTGATCAAGCTCACTGGCGAAATGCTGTGAAGGCGGAACTCAAGTCGATGCATCTTCGTGGAGTTTTCCGTGCGGCAAAACTACCAAGAGGCCAAGGCGCGATCGGCACCAAGTGGGTGTTCAAGATCAAGCGCAAAGCGGATGGATCGGTCGAGAAATACAAGGCGCGTCTCGTTGCCAAGGGCTTCAAGCAGAAGTACGGCATCGACTACACAGAGACGTTCTCGCCCGTGGTCAAGTACGTGACACTGCGTATGGTGATCGCGATCACCAAGTATTTCGACTGGCCACTGGACCAACTCGATGTGGTGACAGCCTTTCTCTACGGAGTGATGAAGGAGAAGGTGTACTGCGTGGTACCAGAAGGCGTCGAGATGGATGGCGACTTCGACTGTCTCGAGTTGGTGAAGGCGATCTACGGTCTCAAGCAAGCTTCACGTGTGTGGAACGAGACTTTCGACGAGTTCGTATGCTCCATCGGTTTCGAAGCGTCGGCGTTCGACCCATGTCTCTACATCAAGGTTGTCGATGGTCACTGTGTGCTCGTGCTGGTCTACGTGGATGACGTGTTGGTCACCGGCAGCTCGCTCGAGTTGATTGCGCAGACGAAGGCCGACCTCAAGACGCGTTTCGAGATGACCGACAGTGGCAAGTGTACTTTTGTACTGGGCATCGAACTGGTGGACGAATCGGATGGCAGCGTGACGATGTGCCAGCGACGGTATGTCAACGACATCCTCAAGCGCTTCGGCATGGATGAGTGCAAGGCCACATCAAGTCCGGTCGACTTGAGCACTCGGCTTGTCGCAAGCACCGAAGCGGCCAAGATCGACGTTCCGTTTCGTGAAGCTGTGGGAGCTTTGATGCACTTGACGACTGCGACGCGCCCGGACATTGCGTATGCTGTGGGGTACGTCTCGCGCTTCATGGAGAATCCGCAGCAAGAACATTGGACGGCGGTGAAGCGCATCTTTCGTTACTTGCAAGGGACCAAGTCGCACGGACTCCGATTCCAGCCAAGCGATAAGATCGACTTTCGTGGCTACTCGGACGCGGACTGGGCCGGCGACCACGCTGATCGCAAGTCGACTTCGGGTTACACTTTCATGCTGATGGGTGCTCCTGTGAGTTGGGGAAGCAAGAAGCAGTCAAGTGTGTCGCTGTCGACGAGTGAAGCGGAATACATCGCACTGAGTCTGGCCATCCAGGAAGGCAAGTGGGTGCATCGCCTGCTATGCGAGATTTTGGCGGCCGCAAACGAACCAGGACCGGACCTCGTCATCCGTGAAGACAACCAGTCGTGCATCAAGATGACAAAGAATCCGGTGAATCATGGCCGCGCCAAGCACATCGACATCAAGTACCATCACATCCGTGATGAGGTCAAGTGCGGTGAAGTGCAGCTCGAGTATTGCGAGACTTCCGTGATGATGGCGGACATCATGACCAAGGGACTTTCGGGACCTCGTCACAAGGACTTGACGACGGCTCTCGGCATTCGTGCGAGTTCGGATTGAGGGGGCGTGTTGACGGTCATCGGTTTCTACCAGTATTGGTAACCGTGACCGGTCCAATCCGAACCGCCTGTTCAGCTTAGTATTTACGACGTAGTTCTTACGGTAATTACCATAGTTGATTAGACGCGTAGGATGATGAGACGCTTCACATGATTTATATGTGCACCACATATAAATCATGTAGTAAGTAGTAAGCCCCGATAATCAATCACTTTCCAATCTTCCATCTACCCCAAGTGTCTTCTCCGGTCTTCCGAGTGGACTCTCAGCATGTTGAAAAGACAGCGGCTGTGAAGAAGACACCTCGTCAAGCTGCGTCAAGTGTTGAAGCAAGTGGAAGACCAAGCTTCGCTATACCGGTGGGTACCGGTATGTACCAGTAAGGGCGAAGTCAGGAAATGACGTCACTGGATGACGTCACTGCGAATAATAGGCTTAGAGGTAGTATTCAAAGTTGCGAACTAAGTACCTATTATAAATATATATTCACTTTGCGTTTTGCACTCGGACCAAGAAGTCTAAAGTTCATCAGGTTATGAGCCCAAGTTCGTCAGACTCTGAAACCGCCAACAATTCAAGCTTAGCTGCCATGGACGCCTCCTCCCTCCGCATCTCCAAGTTCGATGGAACTAACTTCCACGCCTGGAAGTTCAAGATGCAGATGGTGCTGGAGGAACGGGACCTATGGGAGGTCGTCAGCGGTGAGATCAAGGCGGAACAGTGCGAGACTCAGTTGGACCAAGCGACGTACAAGAGGAAGTCAAGAAAGGCGATGGCAGTGATCTGTCTAGCCATGGAAGATTCCCAGCTACCGTTGGTCCGGTCGGCAAGTGGTGCATGCGACGCATGGTCAAGGTTGGAAGACCACTTCGAGAAGAAGAGTCTTGCCAACAAGCTGTTCTTGCGCCGTCGCTTCTTCACGACAATGATGGAAGAAGGCGACGATGTGCTCGAACACATCAACAAGCTCAAGACGCTGGCGGAACAGCTAGAAGCGGTGGGGGCTCCAGTCTGCGAGGACGATCTGGTGATCACACTCCTCGGCAGCCTGAGTGACTCGTATCAATTCTTGATCACAGCTTTGGAGTCGCGCTCAGACACTCTTAGCTGGGAGCTCGTGACGTCTCGACTGCTTCATGAAGAAATGAAGCGGAAGGAGCAAGGAAGTAAAGGTGATGAAGCTTCGCAAGGTCAAGCGTTCATCACAAGGGACAATCAGCGCAAAGGGCGACCAGTGAAGAAGTCCTGGCCGTGCCACAATTGCGGAAAGATTGGTCACTGGATGGCGGAGTGCCCCTCGCGCATCCAAGAAAACACGGAGAGACACCGGCCACAGCGTGCTCAAGACAGCGGCGACCGCTATCGATCACAACGTGCAAACGTCGCTCAAGAAGAAGACTCGGGCGACTACCTCTTTTCGATCGGTGAAACGACATCTGCGAAATCGAGCGACATCTGGCTGGTCGACTCCGGGGCGACGCAGCACATGACGTGCTCCAAGAAGTTCATGCGGAACTACAAGGGGTTTGACGCTGTGGATGTCCATCTAGCGGATGATGGAATCGTCCAAGCAATCGGCAGTGGGGACATTGTCATGTCGATGAAGACACCCCAAGGGATGAAGAAAGGTGTGCTCACAAACGTGTGGCACATCCCAAAGTTATCCAGAAACCTGTTCTCGGTCGGCCGCTTCACCAAGGATGTCGGCCCAGTGACGTTCACGAAGGATGGGTGCTATGGAGAAGCGAAAGGGACCAAGTGGAAAATTGGTGCCCGTGAAGGTAAAGGACTGTTCAAACTGCAAATTGATGAACTTTAGACTTCTTGGTCCGAGTGCAAAACGCAAAGTGAATATATATTTATAATAGGTACTTAGTTCGCAACTTTGAATACTACCTCTAAGCCTATTATTTGCAGTGACGTCATCCAGTGACGTCACCCACTGACGTCACCCACTGACGTCATGCAATGACGTCATCCAGTGACGTCATTTCCTGACTTCGCCCTTACTGGTACATACCGGTACCCACCGGTATAGCGAAGCTTGGTCTTCCACTTGCTTCAACACTTGACGCAGCTTGACGAGGTGTCTTCTTCACAGCCGCTGTCTTTTCAACACTCCCTCTCGACTCGTTAGCTGCGGCACCTTGGATCCCAAGTCGATCGCGAATGTTTTCAAATTGTACAGCGGCGATCGGCTTGGTCATCATGTCTGCCAGCATATCTTGAGTCGGGCAATACTCCAAAACGACTTCACCTGATTCCACCTTCTCACGCACAAAATGGTAGCGTATGTCGATGTGTTTTGTTCTCTTATGGAACTCCGGGTTCTTGGCGAGAGCGATTGATCCTTGGTTGTCTTCATACATCTTGATCGCTTCGTCGCTTGTCATCTCACCAAGTTCCCCCAAAAGCACCTTGAGCCATACTGCTTCTTTGGTTGCTTCGGAAAGCGCCATGTATTCTGCTTCTGTTGAAGATAGCGCGACCGTCCGTTGTTTCTGGCTTTTCCAGCTGATGCATCCTCCGCTCATCATGAACACATAGCCGCTTGTACTTCGTCTTGACTCAATGTCGCCGGCCCAGTCTGCGTCGGTGTACCCGCAGATACGGCTTCCTTCTTCACGTGTAAACTCAAGACCATGATTGGGCGTTGCTTGCAGGTATCTCAGCACACGCTTCAAAGCTTGCCAGTGAGTCGGGCATGGGTCGGACGAGAACTGGGATAATGATCCCACTGCAGCAGCTAGATCCGGACGTGTGGCGACCATGAGATACATGATGCCTCCGACAGTGATGAACTTTAGACTTCTTGGTCCGAGTGCAAAACGCAAAGTGAATATATATTTATAATAGGTACTTAGTTCGCAACTTTGAATACTACCTCTAAGCCTATTATTCGCAGTGACGTCATCCAGTGACGTCACCCACTGACGTCACCCACTGACGTCATGCAATGACGTCATCCAGTGACGTCATTTCCTGACTTCGCCCTTACTGGTACATACCGGTACCCACCGGTATAGCGAAGCTTGGTCTTCCACTTGCTTCAACACTTGACGCAGCTTGACGAGGTGTCTTCTTCACAGCCGCTGTCTTTTCAACACTCCCTCTCGACTCGTTAGCTGCGGCACCTTGGATCCCAAGTCGATCGCGAATGTTTTCAAATTGTACAGCGGCGATCGGCTTGGTCATCATGTCTGCCAGCATATCTTGAGTCGGGCAATACTCCAAAACGACTTCACCTGATTCCACCTTCTCACGCACAAAATGGTAGCGTATGTCGATGTGTTTTGTTCTCTTATGGAACTCCGGGTTCTTGGCGAGAGCGATTGATCCTTGGTTGTCTTCATACATCTTGATCGCTTCGTCGCTTGTCATCTCACCAAGTTCCCCCAAAAGCACTTTGAGCCATACTGCTTCTTTGGTTGCTTCGGAAAGCGCCATGTATTCTGCTTCTGTTGAAGATAGCGCGACCGTCCGTTGTTTCTGGCTTTTCCAGCTGATGCATCCTCCGCTCATCATGAACACATAGCCGCTTGTACTTCGTCTTGACTCAATGTCGCCGGCCCAGTCTGCGTCGGTGTACCCGCAGATACGGCTTCCTTCTTCACGTGTAAACTCAAGACCATGATTGGGAGTTGCTTGCAGGTATCTCAGCACACGCTTCAAAGCTTGCCAGTGAGTCGGGCATGGGTCGGACGAGAACTGGGATAATGATCCCACTGCAGCAGCTAGATCCGGACGTGTGGCGACCATGAGATACATGATGCCTCCGACAGCACTTCGATATGGCACGTTGCACATGGTGTCTTCGTGCTTGCATTCTTGTTCACACATGTTCTTGGTTAGCTTCAGGCCGGGATCTTGAGGCGTCTTCACTGGCTTGCTGTTATCCATTCCGAACTTGGTTAACACGGACTTGAGAAACTTGGTTTGTTGTACGGTCACCATTCCCGTCTTACGGTCGTTCTTGATCTCCATGCCGAGAAAGTAATCGAGCTCACCGAGATCCGTCATTTCGAAGCGTTTGCTCAGCGCCATCTTGGTTGACTTGAGGAGTTCGTTGTTGCTGCTGGCCAGGATGAGATCATCGACGTAGAGCACCACGAGAATCATGTCTTGGTCGTCTCGCTTGATGTAGATGCAGTGGTCCGATTCGCACTTCTTGAATCCCATCTTGATCATGAACCCATCGATTGTTTGGTTCCACATGCGAGGCGATTGCTTCAAGCCGTAGAGTGATCTCTTTAGCTTGCACACATAGTCCGGCTGTGTTGCATCCAGGTATCCGTCCGGCTGGTCCATGTAGATGTCTTCGTTGAGGGAGCCGTTAAGAAACGCTGTCTTGACGTCCATCTGATGTAGCATTAGGCCGTACTTAGCCGCCATACTGAGCACCACACGAATCGATGTGAACTTGGCCACCGGTGCGAAAGTTTCTTCATAGTCAACTCCGAATTCCTGTGAGAATCCTTTGGCCACAAGTCTTGCCTTGAAACGTTCAACTTCGCCATCTTGATTCTCCTTTACACGAAAAACCCATCGGCACCCGATGGCCTTGCGACCTTTCGGAAGAGGCACGATTTCCCACGTGTCGTTTCTCTGAAGCGAATCGAACTCCGAGTCACACGCTTCTTTCCACTTGCCGGAGTCGCTTGATTCCATCGCCGACTTGAATGTAGTCGGCGTTTCCCCCACTGAATCAACGATGTAGGCTGCTTCAAAATCCATTGCAGCCGCTGACACATGCTCAAGCGACGGACCTCTGTATGTTCTTCGCTTGGGACTTGGAATGACGGTAGCTTTCTCAAGTGATTGAGTGCGCGTGTGTCTCTTGATGTTGCTCTTCGAAGACCTGGTGTCTTCGTTGTCATCGTCGCTCGAGTCCATGTCGTCGTCAGTTTTACCTTCTTCTTTTTCTTCGTCCTCATCATGATCATCAAACTCAACGACACTTGACTCATCGTTGTAGTTGCGCGGACCTTCATCAAACTTGTCTTCCATGAATGTGGCATCGCGACTGATCTTGATCGCTCCTGTTGACACTTCCTCAAATCGATATGACTTCTGGTGTTCGGCGTATCCCAGGAAACGACAGAGTGATGACTTGGAGTCGAACTTCGCGCGTTTGTCTTGAGGCACTTGAACATACGCGTGGCATCCAAACACTTTAAGGTTGGCCAGAATCGGTTTCTTCATCGTCCACACTTGATATGGAGACTTGTCTTGGTGAATGGCACGTGTTGGACAGCGGTTTCGAAGAAACATCGCCGTCATCACTGCTTCACCCCAGTAGCTCTTTCCCAGTCCAGCGTGTTCCATCATGCAACGCGCACACTCGACCAGCGTGCGATTCATTCTCTCAGCTACTCCGTTTAGCTGAGGAGTATATGGGGGTGTGAACCTTTGTTGTATTCCCCGTTCCGCGCAGAATCGTGCCAGCTTGTCGGACTTGTATTCACCCCCATTGTCGCTTTGAAGGTACTTCACGCGCTTTCCGGTTTGCGTTTCGGCCATCGCAGCGTATTCCATGAACTTCGCCGCAACTTCAGATTTGCTCTTGAGCAGATAGACGACACAGTATCTTGACTTGTCATCAATGAATGTCACGAAGTACCGTTTTCCACTGAAAGTTGCCATCGACATCGGTCCGCATACGTCGCTGTGAATCACTTCGAGGAGTTTGGAGGTGCGAGCTGTAGTGTTTGATTGGAAGCGCACTCGAGTCTGTTTTCCCAGAGCACAACCTTCACACACGTCCCACTTCTTCACCGAAGATATGTCGATGCCAATTCCAATGTTCTTCGTCACGATGCAATTGAGTCCATCGTGACCTATGTGGCCAAGCCGAAGGTGCCAGAGGTACGACTTGGTGCCCCCTTGACATCCCGACGACTTGGCTGCATTTGCTTGTTCCGGCGCCACTGGAGTCATTTGCAGCTTGAACAGTCCTTTACCTTCACGGGCACCAATTTTCCACTTGGTCCCTTTCGCTTCTCCATAGCACCCATCCTTCGTGAACGTCACTGGGCCGACATCCTTGATGAAGCGGCCGACCGAGAACAGGTTTCTGGATAACTTTGGGATGTGCCACACGTTTGTGAGCACACCTTTCTTCATCCCTTGGGGTGTCTTCATCGACATGACAATGTCCCCACTGCCGATTGCTTGGACGATTCTATCATCCGCGAGATGGACATCCACAGCGTCAAACCCCTTGTAGTTCCGCATGAACTTCTTGGAGCACGTCATGTGCTGCGTCGCCCCGGAGTCGACCAGCCAGATGTCGCTCGATTTCGCAGATGTCGTTTCACCGATCGAAAAGAGGTAGTCGCCCGAGTCTTCTTCTTGAGCGACGTTTGCACGTTGTGATCGATAGCGGTCGCCGCTGTCTTGAGCACGCTGTGGCCGGTGTCTCTCCGTGTTTTCTTGGATGCGCGAGGGGCACTCCGCCATCCAATGACCAATCTTTCCGCAACTGTGGCACGGCCAGGACTTCTTCACTGGTCGCCCTTTGCGCTGATTGTCCCTTGTGATGAACGCTTGACCTTGCGAAGCTTCATCACCTTTACTTCCTTGCTCCTTCCGCTTCATTTCTTCATGAAGCAGTCGAGACGTCACGAGCTCCCAGCTAAGAGTGTCTGAGCGCGACTCCAAAGCTGTGATCAAGAATTGATACGAGTCACTCAGGCTGCCGAGGAGTGTGATCACCAGATCGTCCTCGCAGACTGGAGCCCCCCACCGCTTCTAGCTGTTCCGCCAGCGTCTTGAGCTTGTTGATGTGTTCGAGCACATCGTCGCCTTCTTCCATCATTGTCGTGAAGAAGCGACGGCGCAAGAACAGCTTGTTGGCAAGACTCTTCTTCTCGAAGTGGTCTTCCAACCTTGACCATGCGTCGCATGCACCACTTGCCGACCGGACCAACGGTAGCTGGGAATCTTCCATGGCTAGACAGATCACTGCCATCGCCTTTCTTGACTTCCTCTTGTACGTCGCTTGGTCCAACTGAGTCTCGCACTGTTCCGCCTTGATCTCACCGCTGACGACCTCCCATAGGTCCCGTTCCTCCAGCACCATCTGCATCTTGAACTTCCAGGCGTGGAAGTTAGTTCCATCGAACTTGGAGATGCGGAGGGAGGAGGCGTCCATGGCAGCTAAGCTTGAATTGTTGGCGGTTTCAGAGTCTGACGAACTTGGGCTCATAACCTGATGAACTTTAGACTTCTTGGTCCGAGTGCAAAACGCAAAGTGAATATATATTTATAATAGGTACTTAGTTCGCAACTTTGAATACTACCTCTAAGCCTATTATTCGCAGTGACGTCATCCAGTGACGTCACCCACTGACGTCACCCACCCTGACGTCATGCAATGACGTCATCCAGTGACGTCATTTCCTGACTTCGCCCTTACTGGTACATACCGGTACCCACCGGTATAGCGAAGCTTGGTCTTCCACTTGCTTCAACACTTGACGCAGCTTGACGAGGTGTCTTCTTCACAGCCGCTGTCTTTTCAACAGACAGCACTTCGATATGGCACGTTGCACATGGTGTCTTCGTGCTTGCATTCTTGTTCACACATGTTCTTGGTTAGCTTCAGGCCGGGATCTTGAGGCGTCTTCACTGGCTTGCTGTTATCCATTCCGAACTTGGTTAACACGGACTTGAGAAACTTGGTTTGTTGTACAGTCACCATTCCCGTCTTACGGTCGTTCTTGATCTCCATGCCGAGAAAGTAATCGAGCTCACCGAGATCCGTCATTTCGAAGCGTTTGCTCAGCGCCATCTTGGTTGACTTGAGGAGTTCGTTGTTGCTGCTGGCCAGGATGAGATCATCGACGTAGAGCACCACGAGAATCATGTCTTGGTCGTCTCGCTTGATGTAGATGCAGTGGTCCGATTCGCACTTCTTGAATCCCATCTTGATCATGAACCCATCGATTGTTTGGTTCCACATGCGAGGCGATTGCTTCAAGCCGTAGAGTGATCTCTTTAGCTTGCACACATAGTCCGGCTGTGTTGCATCCAGGTATCCGTCCGGCTGGTCCATGTAGATGTCTTCGTTGAGGGAGCCGTTAAGAAACGCTGTCTTGACGTCCATCTGATGTAGCATTAGGCCGTACTTAGCCGCCATACTGAGCACCACACGAATCGATGTGAACTTGGCCACCGGTGCGAAAGTTTCTTCATAGTCAACTCCGAATTTCTGTGAGAATCCTTTGGCCACAAGTCTTGCCTTGAAACGTTCAACTTCGCCATCTTGATTCTCCTTTACACGAAAAACCCATCGGCACCCAATGGCCTTGCGACCTTTCGGAAGAGGCACGATTTGTTGAAAAGACAGCGGCTGTGAAGAAGACACCTCGTCAAGCTGCGTCAAGTGTTGAAGCAAGTGGAAGACCAAGCTTCGCTATACCGGTGGGTACCGGTATGTACCAGTAAGGGCGAAGTCAGGAAATGACGTCACTGGATGACGTCATTGCATGACGTCAGTGGGTGACGTCAGTGGGTGACGTCACTGGATGACGTCACTGCGAATAATAGGCTTAGAGGTAGTATTCAAAGTTGCGAACTAAGTACCTATTATAAATATATATTCACTTTGCGTTTTGCACTCGGACCAAGAAGTCTAAAGTTCATCAGGTTATGAGCCCAAGTTCGTCAGACTCTGAAACCGCCAACAATTCAAGCTTAGCTGCCATGGACGCCTCCTCCCTCCGCATCTCCAAGTTCGATGGAACTAACTTCCACGCCTGGAAGTTCAAGATGCAGATGGTGCTGGAGGAACGGGACCTATGGGAGGTCGTCAGCGGTGAGATCAAGGCGGAACAGTGCGAGACTCAGTTGGACCAAGCGACGTACAAGAGGAAGTCAAGAAAGGCGATGGCAGTGATCTGTCTAGCCATGGAAGATTCCCAGCTACCGTTGGTCCGGTCGGCAAGTGGTGCATGCGACGCATGGTCAAGGTTGGAAGACCACTTCGAGAAGAAGAGTCTTGCCAACAAGCTGTTCTTGCGCCGTCGCTTCTTCACGACAATGATGGAAGAAGGCGACGATGTGCTCGAACACATCAACAAGCTCAAGACGCTGGCGGAACAGCTAGAAGCGGTGGGGGCTCCAGTCTGCGAGGACGATCTGGTGATCACACTTCTCGGCAGCCTGAGTGACTCGTATCAATTCTTGATCACAGCTTTGGAGTCGCGCTCAGACACTCTTAGCTGGGAGCTCGTGACGTCTCGACTGCTTCATGAAGAAATGAAGCGGAAGGAGCAAGGAAGTAAAGGTGATGAAGCTTCGCAAGGTCAAGCGTTCATCACAAGGGACAATCAGCGCAAAGGGCGACCAGTGAAGAAGTCCTGGCCGTGCCACAATTGCGGAAAGATTGGTCACTGGATGGCGGAGTGCCCCTCGCGCATCCAAGAAAACACGGAGAGACACCGGCCACAGCGTGCTCAAGACAGCGGCGACCGCTATCGATCACAACGTGCAAACGTCGCTCAAGAAGAAGACTCGGGCGACTGCCTCTTTCGATCGGTGAAACGACATCTGCGAAATCGAGCGACATCTGGCTGGTCGACTCCGGGGCGACGCAGCACATGACGTGCTCCAAGAAGTTCATGCGGAACTACAAGGGGTTTGACGCTGTGGATGTCCATCTCGCGGATGATGGAATCGTCCAAGCAATCGGCAGTGGGGACATTGTCATGTCGATGAAGACACCCCAAGGGATGAAGAAAGGTGTGCTCACAAACGTGTGGCACATCCCAAAGTTATCCAGAAACCTGTTCTCGGTCGGCCGCTTCACCAAGGATGTCGGCCCAGTGACGTTCACGAAGGATGGGTGCTATGGAGAAGCGAAAGGGACCAAGTGGAAAATTGGTGCCCGTGAAGGTAAAGGACTGTTCAAGCTGCAAATGACTCCAGTGGCGCCGGAACAAGCAAATGCAGCCAAGTCGTCGGGATGTCAAGGGGGCACCAAGTCGTACCTCTGGCACCTTCGGCTTGGCCACATAGGTCACGATGGACTCAATTGCATCGTGACGAAGAACATTGGAATTGGCATCGACATATCTTCGGTGAAGAAGTGGGACGTGTGTGAAGGTTGTGCTCTGGGAAAACAGACTCGAGTGCGCTTCCAATCAAACACTACAGCTCGCACCTCCAAACTCCTCGAAGTGATTCACAGCGACGTATGCGGACCGATGTCGATGGCAACTTTCAGTGGAAAACGGTACTTCGTGACATTCATTGATGACAAGTCAAGATACTGTGTCGTCTATCTGCTCAAGAGCAAATCTGAAGTTGCGGCGAAGTTCATGGAATACGCTGCGATGGCCGAAACGCAAACCGGAAAGCGCGTGAAGTACCTTCAAAGCGACAATGGGGGTGAATACAAGTCCGACAAGCTGGCACGATTCTGCGCGG